TAAAATGGCCTTAAACATATGAAAAAATGTTCAGCTTCATTCATAAGATAAAAATTAGAACTACCCTGACATATAATTTCTCACCCATCAGATTGGCAAAAGTTGCAATGCCTGACAATATAATTAGTCAGGCTGTGGGAAAATAGACACTCTTATTTTTTTTTTTTTTTTTTTGAGAAGGAGTTTCACTCTTGTCGCCCAGGCTGGAGTGCAGCGGCACAATCCTGGCTTACTGCAACCTCTGCCTCCCAGGTTCAAGTGATTCTCTTGCCTCAGCCTCCTGAGTAGCTGGGATTACAGACACACACTGCCATACCCAGCTAATTTTTGCATTTTTAGTAGAGGCTTCACCATGTTAGTCAGGCTAGTCTCGAACTCCTGACCTCATTATCCACCTGCCTCAGCCTCCCAAAGTGCTGGGATTACAGGCCTGAGCTTCCGTGCCCAGCCCGGGCACTCTTACATATCACTGGTGGGAACAGAAAATAGTACAACTCCTATAGAGGGGGATTATCTTTTGACCCAGCAATCTCACTTCTAGGAATTTTTTACCATGAATATACATTTCCAATAATACAAAAACATATATGTCCAAGGTTATATATCAAAATATTAGATGTAATTGCAAAATACTACTTAGATGTCCAAGTATAAGCAATTATTTGAATAATAATATATTCACACGAGGAAGTATTACGTAACTATAAAAAACAGAATGAGGATAATCTCTACCAACTAATACAGTATTTCCAGGAGATACTATTAAGTGGGGAAAAAAAGTACAATCCTGGTGCTGACTGAAGAATTTTCTTAAAAGTACAAAAGAATATATATATAAAAAATATGCTATCTTTCCTGTAAGAAATTAAGAGGCCAGGCGCGGTGGCTTGTGCCTGTAATCCCAGTACTTTGGGAGGCCCCGGCGGGTGGATCACCTGAGATCAGGAGTTCAAGACCAGCCTGGCTAACATGGTGAAACCCCGTCTTTACTAAAAATACAAAAATTAGCTGAGTGTGGTGGCAGATACCTGTAATCCCAGCTACTCGGGAGGTTGAGGCAGGAGTATCACCTGAATCCAGGAGGCGGAGGCTGCAGTAAACTGAGATTGCAGCACTGCACTCCAGCCTGGGTGACAAGAGTGAAATGCTGTTTCAAAAGAAAAGAGAAAAGAAAAAGAAAACAATTAGAGTAAAAAACAATCCTCTCATCTTTGCTAAAAGGATTAAGGGACAGATTAAACCAGAAGACAATGAAGTTGGTAAGTACAAGGGGTTGAGGGCAGGGGATAATGGAATTAATTGTGCTGATGTTGGGAGCCAGGGTTCTCACTGAGAAGAGACATATGAATAAGGAATTAATGCAGACAAGAAAAAAGCCCATGATGATGAATTAGAGGTATTAATGTGAACTGCTGATTTCCTAAAAAGAAGTATATGTGTATGTAAATGTATATGTGTGTATGTATACTGGCATATATGTATACAGCACATAACATGCATATATTTCCTAGTTCTGTCAGCCAAAAGGGCCAAGATGCAAAAATATTCCAGTAGATGAAAAGATCTTAGTCTCTGACATGACTCCCTTGTAAAAGCACCAGGACTCCTCAGAGAAGTGGCTGATTCCAGGGCAGGGGAGGTACAGGATGCACTTGGAGTATTTAGTTATGCCAAAAAGGATGGAGATGCTAAAAAGAAAAAAAATACGATGAGGGTATGCTATAAGGATATAGGAGCCCATCTGAAGGGACTCCCAGTGGCCAAATTTGGAATAATCCGAGAACCTAGCTAATTATGTATGCTAATAAATCATAAATCATTGAAAAAATAGGAATTCCTGTGTCCATAAGAAGTAAAAAAGTGAACAGATAAAGAAAATGTAGTACATATACACCACGGAATACTATGCAGCCATAAAAAAGTAATGAGATCACGTACTCTGCAGCAACATGGATGGAGTTGGAGGTCATTATCCTATGCAAACTAACGTAGGAAGAGAAAACCAAATACCCTCTGATCTCACTCACAAGTAGGAGCTAAAAAAAACAAGAACACATGGACACAAAAAGGGGAAGAGAAACCAGGGCCTTCTTGAGGGTGAACTGTGGGAGGAGGGAGAGGATCCAAAACTACCTCTCGAGTGCTATGCTTATTATCTTGGTGACAAAATAATTTGTATATAAAACCCCTGTGACAAGCAGTTTACCTATATAACAACCCTGCACATGTACCCCAGAACCTAAAATAAAAACTAAAAATGCTAACTAGTAAATGTGGAGAGAGCACTAGATTTGCAGGGGGGAAATCATCTTTTTGCAACCTTAATAGTAAAGATTGGGCCAGGCATGGTGGCTTACGCCTATAATCCCAACACACTGGGAGGCCAAGGTGGGGACATCGCTTGAGCCCAGGAATTCAAGACTCCAGTGGGCTATGATTGTGCCACTGCACTCCAGCCTGTGTGATAGAGTGAGACCCCATCTCTTAAAAATAAAAAAAATTTAAAAATTACACATATATATAAACATACACACACAGAGAGAGAGAGAGAGTGCACGCAAATGACGAAGCAGATGGAGTAAAAGGTTAACAAAAGTTATGTGGGTATTGTTTGTATTCTTATTCTTGCAACTTAAGTTTGAAATTATTTCCAAAAAGAAGTTTAACAATTATTTTGGACACAGAGTTGAGGTAACTGCAAAATGAAACACTCCCAGCATTGGAGCAGTCCACTTAGATTTCTCCATATGTAAAATGAAAGAGTTGAACTAGATGTGTCTGAAGACTCCATTCTCTCCTAAATTTATATTAGGAGTGTGACCAAAGAGTAAATTAGAGCTTCTTTAAGAAATTGTTCTGTCAGGCTGGGAACAGTGGCTCACGCCTGTAATCCCAGCACTTTGGGAGGCTGAGGCTGGTGGATCACCTGAGGTCAGGAGTTCAAGACCAGTCTGACCAACAAGGTGAAACCCTGTCTCTACTAAAAATACAAAAATTAGCCGTGCGTGGTGGCGGGCACCTGTACTCCCAGCTACTCGGGAGGCTGAGACAGGATAATTGCTTGAACCCAGGAGGCAGAGGTTGCAGTGAGCCGAGATCATGCCACTGCACTCCAGCCTGGGCGATGTCGCAAGACTCCATCTCGAAAAAAACCACGAATTGTTGAAGAGGAAAAACACCCAAAAAGTACTTTTCTGATTCTTCTCATTGGGATACTACCAAACATCTAACAATGGAATTTCTATTTCTGCCAAATCTCATATATTTAGAATCAGGGAAGAAGAGTATAGTTTTTATTTTTTAGCGACAGATTCTTGCTCTTGTCACCCAGGCTGGAGTGCAGTGGCATGATCTTGGCTTACTGCAGCCTCTGCCCCCTGGGTTCAAGCAATTCTCCTGCCTCAGCCTCCCAAGTAGCTGGGATTATGGGCACCCACCACCACCCTCCAGCTAATTTTTGTATTTTCAGTAGAGACGTGGTTTCACCTTGTTGGCAAGGCTGATCTCAAACTCCTGACCTCACGATCTGCCCGCCTCAAACTCCCAAAGTGCTGGAATTACAGGTGTGAGCCACCACGCCTGGCCAGTATAATTTTTTTATCCATAGTTAACGGCTACTTGAATTTACTTCACACGTACTCCATAATTCTCTACATTATTCTACTGTGCTTTACTCTTAGAAACAAGTTCCACATCAAGGGGAAGATGGGGTGATATTTCCTTTATCTTACCACTGACACATTTCTTATCAAGGTGCCTGAAACATGTTATTGGTCTAAACAGAAATCCCATGGCTTTTCTAGGTTTAACTATAGGTTAATCAGAATATGCCTGGTCCATCTCAGCTTCATTTTCTTTCTTTTTTTTTTCTTTTTTTGAGACGGAGTCTCACTCTGCCGCCCACGCTGGAGTGCAGTGGCAGGATCTCGGCTCACTGCAACCTCCGCCTCCCGGGTTCATGCCATTCTCCTGCCTCTGCCTCCCGAGTAGCTGGGACTACAGGTGCCTGCCACCACACCCAGCTAATTTTTTCTATTTTTTAGTAGAGATGGGAGTTTCACCATGTTAGCCTGGATGGTCTCCATCTCCAGACCTCGTGACCCACCTGCCTCAGCCTCCCAAAGTGCTGGGACTACAGGCGTGAGCCACTGCGCCCAGACGCTTCATTTTCTTCTAAGACCCAGGATCATATGTTTGTGTCGTGTGTTCAATGGGTAATCAATATGTATTAGTTGATTTTATTTTGATACTCATAATTCCCTTAGAATCAGAGTCAAAGGGCTTTATTGCCTAACTTCATTGTTTATTTTTCTTCCTTGATCAACTTCCACTCCAGTTTGCTACTTTTTTTTCTTGAGACGGAGTCTCGCTTTGTCACCCAGGCTGGAGTGCAGTGGCGCGATCTCGGCTCACTGCAAGCTCCGCCTCCCAGGTTCACGCCATTCTCCTACCTCAGCCTCCCGAGTAGCTGCGACTACAGGCGCCCGCCACCTCGCCCAGCTAGTTTTTTGTATTTTTTAGTAGAGACGGGGTTTCACCGTGTTAGCCAGGATGGTCTCGATCTCCTGACCTCCTGATCCACCCGTCTCGGCCTCCCAAAGTGCTGGGATTACAGGCTTGGGCCACCGCACCCGGCCTCCAGTTTGCTATTAATAGTCACCTGAAGGCCAGGAGTGGTGGCTCACACCTGTAATCCCAGCACTTTGGGAGCCCGAGGTGGGCAGATCACCTGAGGTCGGGAGTTCAAGACCAGCCTGGCCACCATGGTGAAACCCTATCTCTACTGAAAATTAAAAAAAAAAAAATTAGCTGGGTGTGGTGGCGTGCGCCTGTAGTCCCAGTTACTCTCAGGAGGCTGAGGCAGGAGAATCGTTTAAAGCCAGGAAGCAGAGGTTGCAGTGAGCCAAGATCATGCCACTGCACTCCAGTCTAGGCGACAGAGGGAAAGTCCATCTCAAGAAAATAATAAGTCACCTGAGACTTGTTCCCACTGTACTTACTGCTAAAGGAACCCAAACGGTCCATTCCCTAATAGGCAACGAGTGCTGCTTTGGTCTTCCTCAGCACAGAACTTCTTCAAGACTTCAGAACTGGCCAACACATACAACAAAGCTTTCCTGTGAGCAAACAAAAGTGGCACATGGATCAGAAAATCATTCAAAGGGACACGATAAAGAGAAGGTATGCAACATACTCAGCTCTGCCACATCTTAGCTTTGTAATGCTGAAAAATTATTCTACCTCTGAAAACCTGTTTCTTCCTCTGTAAAGCGGGTATAATGGTGCCTACCTTCCAAAGTTGTAAGAATTAAACGTCATAATCAAATATCATAATCCATATAAATAATGTAGCATGGTACCTGGTCCTTCATAAATGCTGCATATTTCTTTTTTTTATGAAGAAGGATTTGGGTCTGTGGGGCAGGGAGGGTGGAAGGGGCAAATGCTATATATTTCTAATAAACAACTGTTGGCTTTCTCTACTCAGTCAGCATCATTTCTCTCCTTAGCCACCATCTTTATTTGGGAAACTGACCCTTCCACATTTCATGTGGTACTGGTGGGGCTGCCAATCACAATACCCCATTCCCCACCCCTGACAAAAGCTAAAGCAACCAGGTCTCTTCTTCCAGAAATCTGGATCTTGAGTAAGACATGAAAGGACAGAAGGCAGCTGGAGCTCAGTCGTTCACTAGAATTCATTCCAAGAATTCAGTCCATGTGCTCTGGCTGTTGAGATCCCTAGCCCCAGTTGGCTCAACTGTTTAACTCTTCTCTCATTTCTCTATTTTTAATAAACTTTAATAAACTCAACTTTAATAATAAATCTGAACAAGTTTCTGTAGGTGGAAACCAAAAAACCCTATCTATTACAACATACATTTGTTCCTTACTCTTTCAACAAGTACGTAACAGGGCCAGGCACAGTGGCTCATGCCTGTAATCCCAGCACTCTGGGAGGCTGAGGTGATAGGATAACTAGGGCCCAGGAGTTCAAGACCAGCCTGGGCAACATAGGGAGACCCCCATCTCTTTAAAAAAAAAAAAAGTTAACTGGGTACAGAGGCCCTTGCCTATGGTCGCAGCTACTCAGAAGGATGAGGTGGAACACTTGGGCCTGGGAGGTTGAGGATGCAGTGAGCCACCACTGCACTCCAGTTTGGAGGACAGACCAAATCTCTTTTTCTTTTTTTTGGATACAGAGTCTGGCTCTGTTGCCCAGGCTGGAGTACTCACTGCAACCTCTACCTCCCAGGTTCAAGGGATTCTCCTTCTCCATTTGGTTCTCATTTTTGTTTCTCGTGTCTTGTGCCTCAGTCTCCTGAGTAGCTGGGATTACAAGCATATGCCACCACCACACCTGGATAATTGTTTTGCATTTTTTGGAGAGACAGGGTTTCACCATGTCGGCCAGGCTGGTCTTGAACTCTTGGCCTCAAGTGATCCGCCCCCTCCTTGGCCTCCAAAAGTGCTAGAGTGCTAGGATTACAGGTGTGAGCTGCCATGCCTGACCCAAAGTATCTTCTTTGAAACAGAAATGAAATAATGTTTTACACTAAGTCAAAAAATAACCCCTCTTCTGCACACTCACAGCTGTTTTTTTGGTGGGGGGTGTGTGTGTGTGTGTGTGTGTGTTTGAGACTAAGTCCTGCTCGTTACCTAGGCTGGAGTGCAATGGCACGATCTCGGCTCACTGCAACCTCCGCCTCCCAGGTTCAAGTCAGGCTCAGCCTTCCAAAGTAGCTGGGATTACAGGCGCCGGCCACCACGCCCGGCTAATTTTTGTATTTTTAGTAGAGACGGGGTTTCACCATGTTGGCCAAGCTGGTCTCAAACTCCTGACCTCAGGTGATCTGCCCATTTCAGCCTCCCCAAGTGCTGGGATTACAGGCATGAGCCACAGCGCCCGGCCCACTCACAGCTTTTTATCTAGCATTTTTCACATTCTACTTTGTGAGTATTACTTCTGAATGTGTATTTTCCCCCACTTTTAAATTAAGTGAAAGCAGGCTGGGTATGGTAGCTCATGCCTGTAACTCCAGTACTTTGGGAGGCTGAGGCAGGTGAATCTCCTGAGGTCAGGAGTTTCAGACCAGCCTGGAGCAACACAGTGAGACCCCCATCTCTAAAAAATTAGCTTGATGTGGTGGCGGGTGCCTATAATCCCAGCTACTCGGGAGGCTGAGGCATGAGAGTTGCTTGAACCCGGCAGGTGGAGGTTGCAGAGAGCCAAGATTGTGCCACTGCACTCCAGCCTGGGCTACAGTGGAAGATCCTGTCTCAAAAATAAATAATAAATAAATAAGTGAAAGCAGAGAATATATCGGATACATATTTGCATTCTTTTAAAATGCCAAGCATACAGGAGGAATACAATAAACACATAGTAGTGGACCAATAAATGTTAGTTCTACAAAAGGTTAATTCATCTTTAGTTTTTCTGAAGTGATTTTTTTCACCCTGGTAATTTTTAGCTTGGAGAATAATTCATCACTAAGTGTGGGCAACATTCCACTAACACTGCCGTCAAAGAACTTTTCCTTTTTGGGGTGGGGTAGGTCTCCTTTGCTGTTGTCTCAGGAAAAGTTGAGCTCTGAAGAAAAATGAGTCTAGCAAGGGTGTATTATGAACGCAGCAATCAAATAACAGCCAAATTTACTGAACTTTTTCCATTTGCTAGGTACCCGCGGGTACCTCGGTGTGGGGATTCTTTGAATCCTCACTCCCACACTCCTGGGGCAAGCTGCTTTTTCAAAAGAAAGCAAGCTCTGAAAGAGTATGTTACTTGCGCAGTGTCTTACAAGTAAAGGATAGCAGTGTCATTTCAAACACAGACGTCAAGGCTGGTAGTGGTGGCTCACGCCTGTAATTGCAGCACTTTAGGAGGCCAAGGCGGCAGATCATCTGCAGTCGGGAGTTCCAGATCAGCCTGACCAACACGGAGAAACCCTGTCTCTACTAAAAATACAAAATTAGCTGGGCGTGGTGGCACATGCCTGTAATCACAGGTACTTGGGAGGCTGAGGCAAGAGAACTGCTTGAACCCGGGAGGCAGAGGTTGCTGCGAGCCGAGAACGCGTCGCTGCACTCCAGCCTAAGCAACTCAGGTTGCAAAGTGCAAAACTCCGTTTCAAAAAAAACAGATGTCCAGTAAAGGATGCAGTCAATATGGACTGATCAACACTCAAAACAGCACAGCAGGAGGCCGGGCGCGGTGGCTTATGCCTGTAATCCCAGTACTCTGGGAGTCCCAGGCGGGCAGATCACCAGAGGTCAAGAGTTCAAGAGCAGCCTGCCCAACACAGCGAAACCCTGGCTCTACTAAAATTACAAAAAATAGGCCGGGCGCGGTGGCTCACGCCTGTAATCCCAGCACTTTGGGAGGCCAAGGCGGGTGGATCATGAGGTCAGGAGATTGACACCATCCTGCTAACACGGTAAAATCCTGTCTCTACTAAAAATACAAAAAATTAGCCGGGCGTGGTGGCGGGCGCCTGTAGTCCCAGCTACTCGGGAGGCTGAGGCAGGAGAATGGCGTGAACCCAGGAGGCGGAGCTTGCAGTGAGCCGAGATCGCGCCACTGCACTCCAGCTTGGGAGACAGAGCAAGACTCCGTCTCAAAAAACAAAAACAAAAACAAAAACAAAGACAAAAAATAACCAGGCGTGGTGGCGGGCGCCTGTAATCCCAGGTACTCGGAAGGCTGAGGCAGGAGAATCGCTTCAACCCGGGAAGCGGAGGTTGCAGTGAGTTGAGATGGCGCCATTGCACTCCAGTCTGGGCTAAAGAGAGAGATTCCATCTCAAAAAAAAAAAAAATTGTAGGGCCGCGCGCGGTGGCTCACGCCTGCAATCCCAGCACTTTGGGAAGCCAAGGCGGAAGGATCATTTAAGGTCACGAGTTCGAGACCAGCCTGGCCAACATGGTGAAACCCCACCTCTACTAAAAATACAAAAATTAGCTGGGCGTGGTGGCACGAGAATCGCTTGAGCCTGGGAGGCGGAGGTTGCAGTGAGTTGAAATCGTGCCACTGCACTGCATTACAGCCTAGGAGAAAATTAAAAAAAAAAAAAGCAAAAAAAGCAAAAAAAGCACAATATTGCAGTCTGCAGAACCTTCTTTCTCCTCCTTTCACAAGAGACCACATTCTGACACCAACTTCCGTGGAAGCACAGGAGCCAGCTCCAAACTAACAATCGCCAAATTCGAATCAGTTACCGGGTGAAGTGAGACACTATGTCGGGCAGGAGTCCACGCGGGGAGGAGAAAAGGCGCAGGCTCCGGAGGTGTGGAGCCAACGTTCAAATCCTTACAAGGTGGGACCGGCCTGGGCCAGTCATTTTACCTGCGCCTCGGCTCTAACAGGGTACTGAAATACCTACTTTGGAGGGCCTGCTAAGAAATTCAAATGGTCTGGTCAGGGGCATCACGCACAGTGGCCGTCCTTGGTAGAGCCACGCGCTCCAGGACTGAGCGTGGAATGGCGAGGCTGGGGCACTGCGGCACCGCCCAGACGCGGGGCGGGCACCAGGGGTCAG